CCACCTGCCGCCCCAGCTGTGGAGTGTCCAGCTGTGGAGTGTCCAGCTGCTGCCGCCCAGTCTGCTGCCAGACCACCTGCCGCCCCAGCTGTGGAGTGTCCAGCTGCTGCTGCCCAGTCTATCAGACCACCTGCTGTGGTACAACTTCCTGCCGCCCCTCTTGTTGAATTTTCTGTCTGACTACCGACCCTGAGGCAGCCATAATCACAGTGAGCTGAACTTCTCATCCTTGTATTAAATGATTCCTACTTTTGTTGTCCTGACAACGGAAAGAAACCAGCAGAAGAGAATCCTACTAAGTACCGCCCATATTTCCCAAGGATCTCCTCTCTACATGTGTGTCTCAGATGCATGGTGCAGCTAAACATATCCTTCGCGTCTCCAACTTCCTTGGACTTCACCATTCTGTGTTTAACTATTCTTCAATAAATATTGCCTTATATTAGAAATATATGCATCTTCTTTCATTTATTTTTAGAAAATTAACAGTTTATTTTCTGGTATTTTTCCTTCCAAAGTGAGATGTTTGGGTTACTATGACCAGGAAGAAAACTAGTTTTGCTAGTATGTTAGAGGTATGCATAGTTCCACATTTATTGCAGCATTATTCACATTGTCTGGGAAGCAGAATTAGCCTGTGTCCATCAACCGATGAGTGGTAAATAAAATGCCTTATACATAATGGAATGCTGTTTACTCATAAAACAGGTGGAGTCTTGTCATTTGTGACAACATGGCTAGAGTTGGAAGAGGTTATGTAAGTGAAATCAGCCAGATACAGAAAGAAAATACACATGATGTCATTCAAAGGTGGAACCTAAAATAAAAAAGCTCCCATAGAAGCAGAGTAGAAAAGTGGCCTGAGATTCTGGGGAAAACGGAGGGACACAAGAGAAGACTACCTGATTAAAATCTGTAAAACAATTAGATAAAAGAGATTGTTCTAGAACTGCAGAGATGATTCAATGGTTAAGTCCATCACTCTCTTGTGACCTCCACAGGTCCACAGGCACCGGGCATGTACATGGTACACAGACAAACATGCAAACAAAACACCACATACATAAAATAAATAGATAAATAGAACTTTAAAAATGAAATAGTTACCTGCCGGGCGGTGGTGGCGCACGCCTTTAATCCCAGCACTCGGGAGGCAGAGGCAGGCGGATCTCTGTGAGTTCGAGGCCAGCCTGGGCTACCAAGTGAGCTCCAGGAAAGGCGCAAAACTACACAGAGAAACCCTGTCTCGAAAAACCAAAAAAAAAAAAAAAAAAAAAAAAAAAAGAAATAGTTAGAGTGTTCAATTGCATAGGAAAGTTGCTACAAATGATAAATAGTTTATATTTCAAAACAGCTAGAACAAAGGACATTGAGCATTTTCACCAGCGAGAAATGATATAGATTTGAGCATGTAAAAATATTAACCCATATTTAAACAGTGTGTCATGCATACACACATAAAAACATCACATAGTACCCCATAAATGCATACAATTTTATATACCAACTCAAAAGCAGAAAAGAAAGCAGATTTTGCACATACAATCTACTATCCATATTGTAAAAAAGGACTATATTTCAAAATAACATGACCTGCCTCATTTAATTAACAATAATTTTCCTTTTCAATCCATAAGATGATTGGCAGGTTCACAGGGCCACTGAGCTCTGAGGATAATAAGACATGTGAAGACAAATAGTTTCCAACAAGAAACTCACAGACTAGTCTTTGAAATAAGGCTTAGGAATAAAAGGAAGGACCCAAATAGGTAGAATGTAATGGGGAAAACTTCTGTTCCAGAGAAGGATAATATGGAAGGGTTAAATATATACATAGTGAGTTAAAACCTAGTGAATGCTAGGGAAGTATACAAGTCATAAACTCAGGATGAAAAGAGAAAGAAAAAGAACGAAGGGAGGGGGAGGGGAGAAGGAGCAGGGGGGGAGCAGAAAGAGTGGAGGAGGAGGGGAGTAAGAGGGAAGGAGGAGGAAGGGAGAGGAAGGGAGGAGGAGGAGCAGGAGGAGGAAGGGAGAAAGAGGAGGAGCAGGAGGGGAGGAGGAGGATGCAGCCAGGGATTGTTTACATTGTTATAAATGAAAGGAGTAAAATGAGGCAAGAGATCAGCGGCTCCGGGGGCAGATATGGCAGAAAATGGACTATGCTGTTCACTCCCCAATTGCCTTCACACTAAAGACACTGTGCTAAAATAAATCATGAACAGCTGAGGAAGCTCTCTGTCAGAGGTGGAGTGCATTGACACTAGAGATAACTCCAGGAGGGGTTGAGGGAAGAGTTTAAAAAACAGGCAAGGAAAAAGTTGCATGAATAGACCAGCAAGATGGCTCCGGGGGGTTAAGGTGCTTGCTGCCAACCTGGGACCCATGTAGTGGAAGGGAGGAAGGAGATAACTCACTCTCACAAGTTGTCCTCTGACCTCTACACACACACACAAACATGCACCCCCTACACAAACATGCACACAGAAAAATAAATAAAATATAATAAAAACAATTTAAAAGTTGCAAGAAGAAAGAACTTAGGCTGCATTTGAAAGTCATGCTCTGAGTGTGTACTTTTGGGATAGTCGTAGATCCTGCAAAATCTGTTAAAACTCAGGTAGGCTTGATTATACCCAGGTGAACAAATACCTCCTGAAGCCACATCCCTAGTTTTACTTGGTCTGTCTGAAGCCTCTTCTACCAGAAAACAGATACTTGATCAAAACAAAGAGCCAATAGACTGAAGTTATCTTAAGGGAAGGACCAGTACAACACTTGAGATGTTCTTGAATGGGGGAAACTTACCCTTCTGGTAATGATAGCAGCTGTGGAGGACCAAAAGGTAGACTAGTGATGTGGTAGGCAGGGAAAAGCATTAAGAATGGGGAGCCACATGGCTTGTGGCCAGGGCAGCAGGGAGTTGAGGCTATTGGATTTCTGAGATGCTTGATTATCAGAACTTGTAACCAAACACTAGTAACTGTCAGCATTTGTCTGTGATGGGCAAAGCTGATGATCAGACCAACTCCTATTTCATCTGTTTGAGAAGAGGGGACATCAGACATATTTGGATTTAGAACATATTCCTACTGGTGCAATTTAATAGGCATGGGATCAGAAGAGAAGGCTATTGCCTTTCCTAAGCATCTCCCAGAACAACTTGGGCATTAAAAAAAAAAAATACAGGCTGTCAGTGTTGTGCTACTGAATGTTCTGTGTTGGTTGGTTATTTCAGAAAGATGAACTTTGATGCATGCCCCTTTGATTCATAGGGTGATCCCACTCCATCCAACAAGCTAACATTGAAAGGAAACGTGGCAACATATATTGTGTAGGTAGACTGTGTCCCTATACATGCTTTAGTGGTATCGTCAGTATTTGTAATCTCTATTTCCAGCACTTATTTTTTTAATTTGAGGAAAATATTTGCATTTCTGTAATCTAAATAAAGAAAATAAAATTTTCACATGTCAATCAAATTCTATAGTATAGAAAATTGCCAAATCATTAGTTTTTTCCCCCAAGCCAGATTTCCCACTTTATTTTCAAGCTTCTTTCTAAGAACCAGTAACTTCTTTCTCACTGGTTTTTGATTATGGATTGACCAGTAATCTTGGGCTGTGGCAAATGCATATATTGCCTGAGACCATTTTCATCCTTCAGATATTTCACTGTGCAATTTGGAATTTGGATTTGATAGGAAGACCTATCTCCGACAGACTGTTAGCACTATTGTTGAGAAAGAGGAGCACATCCTGTGAGAGAAGTGTAATATATAAGTGTTGATTCATAGAAATAAAGTGACTCAAGTAAAAAATGCACAGCTTACAAGCACATGAGCTGCCAAAGTAAGAGAACTGAATGAAGGCTAAATGTTCATATTCTTATGAAAGGAGTTAGTAAACAACCATCATGGTGTTTTCAAAGAGAGGGGATAGGAAATCCTGACGTTGGTAACAATGTGAACCAAACTGGGTAACTATGGGAGTGAAGTAAGCCGGACACAGGAATACAAATATTATCCTGTCTTGTTTTTACTTCATTGAAAATAGTCAATCTCCTGAAGCAGATGGAGTGAAGTGGTGGTCATCCAGAGATGTGGAGATGTTGATCAAAGCATATAAAGTTTCGGTTAAGTGTGGTGAGTAAGTTCTGGAAAAGCAACAATGACTAGTTACCAGCCCTGCATTGTAAGGTTGAAATCTGTTAAAACAGTAGATCTCAAACATTCTTAGCACAGAATGGCAATAACTAATGAATATGTTAGTTTATTGTGGTAATAATTACACCACGTATATCACACATGTCAAAATATCACATACACCTTTAATATATACAATTTTGTTAATCATTCCTGGGAAAGTGCACAGAACAAAGACTCCCATTGATATGAAACACGTGAGCATGTTGCCCAGATGTTAGGATGGTTTGAGGGAGGGCTGATGTGGGCAGTGTCGGGGGTTTGCTGGAGGAGGGACTATCCCCCAAATCAAAAAGAACAAGTAGCGTAGTGGCCTTGCGTAGAGTCCGCAGCAGAGCTGGGGGCCTCCGAGCACCATTCCTTTAGTTGACTTTAGCAAGCAGTTCTTCA